GATGATATCTAGACCGCAGATCAATCTTAGAGAAATAGGTAGCTCCTTTCAACTGATCAAACAAATCATCAATCCTAGGCAAATGATACTTGTTACGAATCGTAACCTTATTCAACTCCCTGTAATCTATACACAACTGAAGTGAACCGTCCTTCTTCTTCACAAATAAAACCAGTGCTCCCCAGGGTGAGGTACTCCTGCGAATGAAACCCTGGCTAAGTAACTGCTAAATCTGATCCCTCAACTCACGTATCTCCACCGGTGCCATCCTATACGGTGCCCTAGCAATATGTGTAGTGCCTGGAGTTAAGTCAATTACAAAATCGATCTCTCGACTAGGCGGCAACCCTGGAATCTCCTGAAATACATTCAGGAAATCTTGTACAATTGGTATGTTATCCAATGATACAGTAGTCCCCTCCTCCGTGTCCTCCTCCATATGGAACAGATAGGTACTAGTGACCCCGTTAGAACGCGGCATAGCGACGACGTACATGTCCTGACCAGGTATGGTGAAAACAACTGACCTATCATAACAATCAACTTGGGCATGGTAATGCGATAACCAATCCATCCCAAGTATCACATCATAAGTGTGCATGTCCAGGACCAAAAGATTGGTTAGAAATCCGAGTCTACCAATATCTAGTATTACAGGCCCATCACTCTCATGAAGAATGGCTGTATTGCCTAACGGTGTAGAAATACCCTGTGGTTTACAGCATACCCGAGTCATCATCCCAGACACAGCAACAAATGATCTAGCTACAAACGAGTGGGTAGCACATGTATCAAATAACACACGTCCAAGTAAACCATGAATAGAAAACTTACCCTCAACAGCCTGAGGTGCCTGCATATCCTGTGGCATGGGGTTGTACACCCTGCCATAATGTAACTGTTGCGGTGCCTGTCCCTGAGGCTGCGGTGGTGCTGGTAATGCCGAATATGTCTGTCCCTGAATTCGTGGAACCTGTGGAGCTGGTAAAGGCACTGACGCTCTCTGCCCCGACTGCACATGCTGTCCCTGGCCCTGTCCCTGTCTTTCTGTAGGACACTGCCTGAAAGTGTGACCATACTCCCCACAAGTATAGCAACTACCCTGGAAAGTACCAAATGGCCTCCTCTGTCGGTTAGCCTGTGGCTGACCCTATCTTGCCTGTGGTCCCCTATTCTGCTGTCCCTGAACAGGTGCCACATCCCTGGGAGCATCCGAACCACCCTTGTGCTTCTTCCAAGGCTGTTGTCCCTGGAATTTGCCCTTGTCATTCTATCGGTGTCCGTTCTCATTCCCTTTCTCAGCTGATTGATTAGCAGAGTCTCTGTCACCCCGCTTTTCACCCTTAGCCTGTCTGAAATTCACGGTCAAATGATACTGCTGTAGAGCGGCGTCTACCACCTGAACATAGGTAGTATAGGCTGGACTACCTGTAATAGCTCTCTTGATAGACCACATCAGTCCTTTGACGACACTGTTGCGCTTCTTCTCCTCTGTATCCACCTCCTCTGGTGCAAAGAGAGACAAGCGTGTGAACTGCTACTCATACTCCGCCACTTTATTAAAAGCTTGTGGTAAGAATGGATTTCGTTCTAGTGCTTGAAAATAATATTCCAACGCTTTCGTATGTTCTCCATTACTTGTGTGGATAAGGCCTAAGTTATATAAGTTTACAATTTATTATACTTAGGATTTTGAGTTGGTATTGGTATGTTAGTATTTAATTAATTATTAATTAAGATGTTTGATAAACTCATGATATTATGAGTAAGAATTATTTTAAATGTATTTAGTGTTTAATTGAAGCAATTAAACTAGTTGGAGTGATAGTCAGGGACTTACCCAAAGATGAGTTTGTTGAGCGTAGTCAGGGATTGTTTAGGGGAGTGAAATACTCTTTTGTTATGGCCATTGGGTTAAAGGTGCCCTTAGTATGTGGACGTGGTCGGGGGCCATCTGGGTTAGTAGATGTACAACCGAGCCACATGTGTATATTTGGTAGTTAGGGACTATGCAATTCACACCATTTATTTGAAGTGGAGTCAGGGGCTCATGTGAGGTAATGGCATTAGAATGCCAACTGGTTGAGGGGAGCCAGGGGCTCATGTGAGGCAAGTGGAATTTTAGTAATTTAAATTCTAGATGAGTTACACGTTCACAGTTTGAGTTAATGTTATAGAATGACAATGATTAGTAGATACTTCATGGTCACTTTTATATGTATATATATACGGATTATAAGTAAGGATTAGCTTGCTGAACGATGATAGTGTTTAGCAATTTCTTGCTGAGCTTGTGAGCTCACCTCTTTATTACTTTCAGGTGAACATGTATTTAGCTTGCAAATGAGGCTCAAGGAGAGATGGAGATTTTTCAGATTTCCACATATTGATTTTATTATTGTTTCTTAGCAAACACTTTGTAATATGATTCATTTAGTTGGTGGAATTTTAATTAGTTGGGGATGTAATAAATTTCCTTTGGATTGATAGATTTTTAAATAAAATGTAATCTTACCGATTTAATCATAGATTGTTGTGGATGAATGAGGTGAGTCACGTACCAGATTTTAGTATAAGACAAGAGTCTTGTGTTAGAATTTTTGAAGCGTGACAGAAGATTATAGGTGGGTTTGAAAAATGACCGTTAAATTTGATCTAACGGTCTATATAGAAAATGTGGATTAATTCTCTTGCTCCATGGAGAGCAAGAGATCAGGACTCTCTCTCTCTCTCTCTCTCTCTCTCTATATATATATATATATATATATATATATATATATAAATCCAAATGACACCTCAAAGTAAGTTACTAATTGATTATTTGTAGAAGGAATTTGTTTTTTTAATTACTGTATAAAAATATGTAATCAAGATTATAAATTAATTTTAGAGATTTGACCATGTTTAGCGCATTTGTCTTTTTCTAGTTAGTTATAGAATTCATACTCAAACTTTAAACCCCTACAATTAGACAATACATTTAATTAATTTTTTTATACAAAAATTACATTTACTAAATCCATGTATATTAAACAACAATTTTTGAATTTAAAAAATTGGTGACAAATCCACTATTTAAATAATTGGACCGAAATTCCATTTATATAACAACACACTTTACTTCTATTATTTTTTCCAGAGGCATAATTTATGCTCTGGAGTAAGGAAACGAAGACCTAAAATTTAATTTAAAATTATGACTTGTTTTTTTTTTTTTTTTTTTTAAGACACAAGTTAATGCATCACAAATGCGACCATGAGAGATCGCACATGGTGAGAAAGAAGACTGACAGATTGCAAAAGTGAATCTGTGTGTCCCACATAAGAAAAAAAATATCTATTTTAATGGGTAGAGCTATTAGTAAGTTTTTATTGAGAACGAGAAAAAAAGAAGAAAGCAAAATTTGTACTACCATGAAAAAATTTTATTCATCAGATTGTATTGATGACATGACATTATTAAAAATATGACCAATAAAGATTGAAAAGGAAATGTTGGTGGCAACTGGCAAAGTCCCCGTGGATGTAACGGGTTTGGTCCACTGGATAGGGTTTTGAGATTTTGAACCAATAGCAAAAAGCCAAGTGGATGGTTCAGATCGTTTCAGCAGTGGTTGAAAGAGAATTTGAATCGTCCAACGCAACACAACAAACACTAGTGTGCTGTAGAATTCGCCATCAACAGTCATCATCCCTTAGTTAAATAATTCAGATTAAAGCCCTTATTAGTTTCTTTGGTGGATGAGAAAAGAATTTAGAGCTAGTTTGGTATAAAGAAATGAAATAAGATAGGAATGAAATTAAGCAGAGAGTGGAATGGAAATGTAATGAAAATGAAATGATCATTCTTTTCTAGTTTGGTTATGCATGGTTTAAAAATGAATACTTATTTCGAAATAAATAAATAAATATATATATATATATATACATATATGCGTAAATATATATTTTCGATGTAAATTTGAAAATTGAAGAGGAAATATTAAGAAAAAGTTGACTTTTATTGAATCTCGTTATTTGTGAAAAGTGTGTTAGCAATCACATCATTCAAGTAAAGTAATTTTTAATATTATTTTTATCCCATATTTTTTTAAGTGGGGAATGGAATGCAGGGGAAGGGCAGTGAATTTGACTGTTTATATGCTCATGCTATTGTGATAGTATTAGAATTTTTGTGTATTAAAATAGTAAACTACCAAATATTCTGCTTGTTTGCACCAGGTGCCTTCTGAGTTGGAAGTTGGAAGTGTGGGGACACTAGGTCGGTTTCACCAAATGGTTTGTCATTCTCATACCTTAATCCCACTTAATTAGGAGATGTGCTTGATGAACCTAATTAAAGAGTTTTTCATGGCTGGATTATTATCTTTTGGGGCCTAAAACTTTTAAAAGACTGGCTTTTGAATTCTTTTTGGTTGTATAAACTAGAACAATGGAATTTCTGAGAGCATTTAACTAGTGAAAACAAATTAAGCTGACGGTCTTCAGCTTGAATATTCGTATAGCCCGTCAAAAAATTGTGTATAATCTATGTTATGCTACATCAACAATACAGGCATAGTGCATTTGCAATTGAATTTCAAGTTATATTGCTAAAATTTCTTGAAATTGGGACTTAATTTTGTGAGAACAGTCCCACATGATCATTATTATGTCACCCATTAACGCAAGTAGTAGAGAACTGGAAGACGCTCTCATGATATAATAGTGCACTTCTAGAGAAAGAGGATGCTTTTGGATTCATTCCTGGTATAAGACTTGATCAATATGTAGGCAAGTTGTCACACAGTTTTTTTTTTTTTCGTTTGGTAAACACTTGGAGATATATATCACTTTAATGACAGCAACCTATTAAAATTTCATACTAAATTGATGTATGCCGAAACCTTTATATACTTGATTAGTTGTAGAATTTCCTCAATCCTTACTGCTTTCCTGCCATACCATAATGTCTATTATGTCAAGCCTAAGTAGGATGATTGGCTTGCCCCTTTCTGCGTCCAAAAATTAAGCATGGGAAAAGAATTTGTAAAATTTTGTTGGAACCTGAAACTGACAAGCACTTGAACAAAGATAAATAAAATTAATTTAATAGGTCTTATACATAACGCTCTGTTTGGTTGCAGAAGACATAGAGAAGAAACTTGAACCTTATGATCACTTGGGTTAGAAAGAATTTAAGGTTCCAGTATCTAACAACCAAAACATATTTTATTAACCTACTGAAAAATTTCCAGTCCCTACTTATATTTCCTCTTCGCTAATAATTTTTGAATATTAATTCTTTCTCCAAAAATAATTCATTTCTTTTCGATGTTGTCAGCTTCTTGTATCCAGCTTTATCTTTACTCTTGTTTTTAGCCACAAGAGATCAGATGGTTTAGATTTCATACTTTTTCATACAGTACTTTTCCTTGTATCCCACTATGCTATAATACACATTGACAGTTTGCATCTATTTTTGGTTTATTTAAAATGAGCACATTAACTAAATCGTGACACAAAACCACAAGTAAACAACCAAATTCTCCCCGTCATAAGGGATTAAGAATGAAAATCATAAGATCTAGGAATCTAAGGTTGTAAGATGCAATTAAAAAAATTGTTTGAAGATTTTTAAGTCGCTTATTTAGAAGCAAAAAGATTTTACTTTAGAATAAAATATGGTTTATATTTATGAGGTTTCAAGGAAACAGTCTCTTCACATGTGGTAATGCTGCGTACTTCTAACCTCCCCAAGACCTCGCAATGACAGGAGTCTCGTACACTGGATTTGCCTTTCTTAATTTATGAAGTTTCAAGCCCATACCTGTCCCATAGCAGCACCAAAAAGAATCGAACTTTGTTCCCCATCCATAGTGACTAACAGTCTTGGAACATCCACTGCATAGGGGTAGCCTGTAGATAAATTGTCCAGGAAGCCCTGCCCGCAGGACAACCAGCACACCATTGGTTAGGGCTCGCTCATAATAATCTGCATATGCGATTTCTTTGGTCCATCTAAACAGGTTGCGTGACACTTACAAAATCATATGCCATTTGATGCTGGTAAAAAACAGCACTGAGATTTTAAACTAAAATAATAGAAATTATAAAGTGAAAAGTGTCTGCTAACTCATCTAAAAAGTATTAACAACAACAACAAAGAGAGAAAAATCGTCTCCCTGAAAAAAAAATTTCTTCCAAAAAGAAAAAAAAAAAAAAACAAAACAGCAGACCTTCAGCATGTTATGAGTTGCACATGATTCTTCATTTTCTCGTCCCAGAGTGTCTCCCAGTCGCATTGGGTCCGCCCTGCTCATGGGTTGAGGAAATGAGAACAAACGAGAATCACATAGGAAATTCAGCAATCAAGACAATAAATAAGTATAAAGCTTTCCACAGATAGTTGTAATTATCAAAAACTATTTAAAGTTCAAACTTTTTGTACCAGAACTCGTCAACTGATGTCCCTCCAGTTGCATAGGTGTGAGAAGAGTCAAGAATCTCCATGAAGAAAGTAGCCATGTCCTGCCATTAAAAAAAAAAATCATAAAACGATGATCCAATATACGATGAGAATAGCCATTCTTCAGCTAGAAAACCGTTGTGCTACCTAAAGGGGCAAAATTAAAATTAATTTCCATGGTTGCTCCCTCTGAAAAGCATCTCAATTAGAAATGGAGGAATATTTAGGAACTGCAGTTTTCTACTCCACAAACCACAATGAACAGATGATGCTGTCAAAGACGAAATTGTGTATCTCTTGAAAGGCCCAAGTGAGGCAATTTAAATGTGTTGCAACAGGTTTAACCCTGAAGCCTATTGGTTTTATGCGAATTTGATAATAGAGATTAAAGGGCAAATCCAGTGCACGAGATGTCCGCAATTTGTGACCTTCATGTCACAGTGAGGAGAGTCAGATAAGATGTATGCAACCTTAACTGCGCATACGTAGAAGTTGTTTCCTTGTTTTCTCAGTGGAACAATCTTACTGTTGCGCCAAGGCTTGCCCTCAAATTGTGTAAATAGAATTAAGCACAAATCAAATAAATAATTTTTCATATTAGATTCTTAATAAAATGAAATATATTTATATATCTTTTAAGCATTATATATATGCTATGCATAAATACTTTAATCTAAAAAATTTGTATACTAATTAATTCTGATTTATTATAATTGGATCAGATCACTAAAAAACCAAGGTTGACCCGTTGGTTAACAAATGGACTGATTTTGGTTCATCACCATGATAAAGAGAATACACTTTTTAACCAAATTTGAATTGAAGGACTGGATTCATAACAAAACTCAATCCATTCAAAAGCCGAATAAGGACTGAATTCATATGCGGCTCTCCCTCTTGACTTCTTTCGAGGTCATTTTACCTCCATGATTATTAGGACCATTACTTTGTTGAGGGACGAGTAGCTGTGCTCCAGTCATTTATCTTCAATAGTTTTTCCCTACTTGTAAAAAAAATAAAAAATAAAAAAAGAAAAAAAGAAAAAAGAAAAAGAGAGAGAGAGAGGCTGAAGAAGAAAAAGTGGAGGAAAAAAAAAAGTTGCTTGCCCTCAAGATTTTTCGACAAAGTAGTAAACCAGAAAGTTCCTATTCTCAATATCAAAAAAAAAAAAAAAAAAAAAAAAAAAAAAAGACCGTAATAATACTTGACACTAAAAACTGAAATCAAGAAAATGCTTCATTGAGTTATTATGCTTTGAGGACAGATATTGAAATGAATTATAGCAATTTACCCTCTAAAGTGGATCACCAGTAACTTCGTACCGCATTTGAGCTCCAATAACATGTGGAATATGAGTATTGGTATGAAACCGAGCTATATCATCCATCTACAAATGAAAGACATAAATTTGGCAATGTTATTTGAAAAATAAGAATAATACAGACATGGTTTATTAAAATCACCAAAATAAAAATCAGCAAGAAATCTTGAATATACATGATGCTAATCTTTGTAATGTATAGATTTGGAATCTCATTGGAAGATCAGATACCGGTTGACATAGAAAGCACTGATACCAATTGGTATCAGAGCTTCCTGCATCAAGGAGAGAAGTAAAAGATCAGTGAATTGGTTCAAATTTTTTAGTAAGTAAAATATGATCCAGTTCATGTCAAGGAATAGATTCCCAATGGTGAATTGTTAAATTGAATAACACCAATTTGTATTTTCAAATACATTCATCTGTGAAACTGTTTTAGATAACATAACCAAATATATTCCAGAATTTTCAAAAACCAACAATTCGTAACGGTCAAAAAAACCAACAATTTTCAAATATACTCCTTGATTAGCATATTGTTTTGAAATGACTTTTTTTTCTTGTTTACCTTTTGATTTAAACAATCTATATTTGTCATGTTAGTTGATTGGTAGGTATTTACTAATGAAATAAATAAAAACTCAAAACCACCAGAAAACTTAAAAGAGTAGCATATAGAAAAGAAAGTGATAACTACCTTTAATGCAAGGATTCCTAGGAAACAGGGTTTGTCAAAAAGATGAGCCATCAATAAATGCTTTTGATCATGCTGCACATGGTAACAAATAAACCGCTAATATCGATCATGCTGCACATGGTAACAAATAAACCGCTAATATCAGAAAATAAGTTCAACAAATATTTGTGAAAATTGTAAATATAATAGACCACAAGCAATTAACAATACCAAAAGATTACTTTATGAATGTAACAGAGTTATAATGCTGTCTGTGGACGTGGGCTACGCACCGTTACGCTGTACAACTGATAAAGGATGTCACTCATGCCGCCAACTTCTGTATCTAATAATTTATAGTGTGCTGCTAGACTTTGCTTTGATATCATATTTTGCACACGCTTGTAAAAGTATTGCACCTTACGAATCATCATTTTTAGAGCCTGATCATTACCCGCATATTTGTTTTGATCAAACAGACCTGCCAATATCTGTGAAAAGCAGACTAAGATAAGGCTAGTTGTGTAGCATAAATGGATTCACAGCTATTAATTAATACAATGTTGAACACAGCTTTTACCTTGTGCATGATGTAGTATGGTGCCCACACACATTTTCCAGATTCGTAACGGTCAAAAAACTCATCTGGGTAAGCAGATATATACCCTGTACCAATTTTATTCTGACAGGCAGCGAGCGCAAAAACTACTGCATTCATTTTCTCTTTAGAGTATTATTATGAGTGCTCGCCCACATTAAAGCTGCGGCACTCAGGTAATGCCCTACAAAATGGCTCCGGAGGTCATATTTCGGATGCTCCCAACCTCCATGTGCAGCATGATCAAAAGCATTTATTGATGGCTCATCTTTTTGACAAACCCTGTTTGTCTGCTGAGACTGCCAATGAAATTCAAGTGAATTAAGATTCAATAATATTTCCTTAAGCTCCAAACCAAGCTATCAGGTTCTAACATCACTAAGTGTTCAGAGTTTGCCTGCAGAGACTGCCAATGAAATGATGAAGGGTCATTTAGTCTCACATCATGAAGAGACACATCCTTGAGGGTTCAGTTTAAAACCAACTGAAGTATTCAGTTTCTTGGACACCATCGCCCAATTCGCCGCATTCAATCACCTTCTCATGGTCATGGTATTGCGCTAGCAAGTTTCTCTTCCATGTTGTATTCGTCGTAGTCACCAGCTCACCTTGGACAGTGTTTGATGCTATCTCATCAGGCTTGTTAGTGCAGTCCTTACCCAAAACAAACCCACACAGAAGAGATAACACCACCACACCTACAACCGAACGCACCATGAAAGACTTATCACAATGTCAGGCATTACTTGAATGCCTGATTAATTTCAAGTGAATTAAGATTCAATAATATATATATTATATGTGTGTGGTGATTGGTGACTCCAATTTATATTTATAGCCATTACCCAAAAAAATTAAAAAATTATTTATTTATAGAGATCAAATGATGAATCAATTAATGAATGCGCCAAATTTAGCATATAAAATCAGACACTCTCCATTGTCAAAGATAAGAATGGCTTCTTGCTAAAAAAAAATCAGAGCCAATATATCCGAATTGATATTATAAAATCTATAAATAGTGAATTAACAGAAGTAGATACTCTATTGTTGGTGGGATAATAATAATAATGAATTATTAATGTATAGGGTACCTGAGGTTTCATCAACCTACATCTCTTGTTTTTTTTTGTTTTTTTGTTTTTGTTTTTTTTTTTTCCCGGCAAACAGAAGAAAAAAAAAGGACGGTAGTCCAACTCCACCAACTGAAGCACCTCCGCCGGAAGATGGGAGATTACAGAATCAGCACACAAGCACGAAGAAGAGAGTGATATAAGGGCATGGGCTGCTCGATTTCCTTGCCGCCACACATGAGACACCTTAACCCAGGAGAAGATGTCCAGGTCAGTGCGAATATCATAAATACATGAGGCAATGCTTGAAGGGCACCTAGAACTGACATGCAAAGCTTCCACAAGAGTTTGAGCATCACTTTCAAACCAGATGTGCTGAAAATCAAAAACCTGAGCCCACATGACAGCAAGTTTAAAAGCCAATGCTTCAGCCACCAATGGAGATGAAGCCGAAAACTGTTTAAAAACAACTGCTTGAAGAACCAAGCCGTCTGAATTTCTAAAAATAGCTCCCTCTCCCCCAAGGCCGGTTGAATGGAAAAAAGATGTATCAACATTGCACTTGATTGCCGAAAGGGAGAGGTGACCAAGAAAGAGGGGAAATCGAAGGATTAGGAGTCAAATGCACATTTCTTTTTTGCCGAACAACAATGACCTTTTCCATAAGAGTTTTTGGATTTTCAGCTTTAACGATTATAATGGAATTACTTTTCTACCTTTTTAAAATTTATATTATATTTTATTAAAAACATAATGTAATTTGAAAAGACAAAAATTTCCAAAAATCCCAAATACTTGTGAATCCCTGCTCCATCCATCACCGTTGTAACCATGCATCATCTTCACCGTTGCCAGCCTCATCAAACAGCAGCCATCGCTGAGCACAAAGCTCGATGTATTCTGCCAGAATCGCGACATCCTTTCTATTCCGTAATTGCCCCTCGCCGTTGCAGAGCGTTAGATGTCAAAGCCCGTCGGTCTAAAGATCTCCCGCCACATTTTCGGCAAGCTCTACCACTACCAATCTGATGCCGGAGCTTAGTTTTCCGGATTCTGATGAACCGAAACAGATCATAAACAAATCCTTTCTACCCGCTGTTCATCCTTGCTCACGGTAAGCACAAATTCACACTCTCGGCACAAGAACAAAATTTTGCACTCCACAGACCAAGGAACCACACTAGACGATTTTGTGTCTGGTTTGAGTTTTGAACAATCACTGGTTGAGTGCCAGAGTTAATGGAGTTTTTTCTCATCGGACTGCTAAGAAAAGCTCCCAATTTGAGATATTGGGAATATCCGAAATATATGAGAAAAATTTATTAAGATGGTCATTAGCAATTTGTATTTCTTCCTTCTTGCTTCGCATTGGTATTAGCCACCACATTTTTGATACCAGTATTCCTCAAAGCAATCGGCCCGGTGCTGGTGCATTTGGACTGCTCGCGCGAGCAAGAAGAACGGCACGGGGCTGTTCGGCAACGGCAGTAAAAGGAGGTACAGTGGCGACAAGCAAGAATGCCGGCGGCTTGACTGAACGGGGTTGAAAGCTTGGTTGTGATGCTGAAGACTGCAATGACTGGTTTGGTTGTTCAGTTCGGCGTAGACAGATATGTCCGGCAGTGAAGCGGACGGATCAGTAGTGGAGCAAGGAACTCGCTAGCGAGGAAATGAACCAGTGATCCCGGCGAGCAACCGACTTGGAAATGAACCAGCGATGAACAACGGCATGCACGGGACATCAAGGAGTTCGTATCGGCAACGGAACCATTTCCGGCGAACAGGGACAAAATTGATACGGCGCTTCATGCTTTATGTTTTGATTTTGATGGAGGAAAGAGAGAGAAGAGAGGAGAGAAAAAGATATTAGAGAGAGAATTTGAGAGAGGAGAGGATAAATAATTACCAGAGTATTTTAGATATTGTAGTTAATTTATTTACATTTCTTTGGAGGGTAGAATAAGAATTTAAAAATAAAAATTGATGGCAACATTATTTTTAATTAGAAACAGTATTTTCTGTTAATAGAGGGGAGGTCTTTATTATATGTATATAAATCTTGAGAGGTAATTGTTAATTCATAAATAAGAAGGGAGGTGAGTATAAGTTGACGAAACATTAAGTTGAATGTAATTTGCCCTAAATTTGAGAGAGAGAGAGAGAGAGCGCGCCCTCGACAATAATGATTTGCTCAAAGGGATCCTGGGCTTGGATATCTGGCTGATTAGGGGTTAGGCTTTGGGTTTGGGATCTGAGAGAATTAAAGTGGGTTTGGGATCCAGAGACTCAATGGGCCGTAAGGATAGAAATTTATGGGCCCAAATAAGATCCTTAGTGGGAAATGGGGGCGTTAGGGGTTAGTGGTGTCTTGTCTAGTCGAAATAGAGATTGACTACGTACTTGAGGGACTCTTGGCAATTTCTTTCGATTCACCATCTTCAATGGGGCAATTTTTGTAGCCCCTAAATGAATTTGGGGTGAATATAATAAAATAATAAAAAATTAAAAAGGGATTTGGGATGGAGACAGATTTAATAATATACTCGCCCCGACCCCGATCCTGTTATATATGTACCTTTAATATATATATATATATATATATATATATAATATTTAATATTTTTAAAACTCTTTGTTATTTTGTTATTAGTGTCAGTTAATATATTAATATTTATTATTTAATAATTTTAAAGCTGAGCCAACTTATTATAACCCAAATTTGAGCACATTGGACTAGTTATTTAGCAGGGTAGAGTCGGTACTTTATTTACCGGAGTAGAAGCAAAAATAGTATACCAATTACAAACCCATACTAAAGTAAGGATAGAGTTAGTGAGACAAATTTTTTAACGTACGGAATAGAAATTAGCTAAATCCGTCCCTTTGCCATCCCCAAGTGACCCCTGTACCCTGAGTCATGAGGTTGGTATGCACGTGGGGGTAGCACAAGGAAACGAGACCATGGACCGGACGAGTCCAAATCTTCCGCCTCTTTAACCCAAAGGTTCTTAATTGGGACACGCAACAGTTTGCTGAGGTAATTACTATATGGGACATGTTTCACTGGTTCGGGGATCACTATCAAGCTTCCGCCTCTTTAAAAATCCTATATGCATCAGTTCTTTGGGAAATACGGCAGAAAATGAATGCAAGACTCCACGGGTCATATTAGAAATCTAGAGACAAATGACAATGGCTAGACTTTGCTGTTGGAGGTGTTGGATGTCCAAAATGCTACTATTCATTATCTTCTCTCCTAATACAATTTCTCTTTCCGTTTGTACTGGAAGTGGGTTTTCTCTATTGATTTCCCTCACCTTTTTCTCCATTGATTATGAGGATATGCCTTCTATGGTCCAGTACTCTTTATTTTTCTTTTTAGTACAACTCCAATTACAAAAAAAAAAAGCTTTCGTGTGTTGGGTTTCTTTAATATTATTTTTGGAAGGTAAAGTAATGTTTAATAGTATAAAAGCAAATTTATCATTCTTTTGACAATGGATATAAGATCTAGAAATGAACTAATGCTTATGAAATCTTGAGTTCATTTTCATTGCTATTATTAATTGTACTAAAAAAATGGAAAAAGAAAAAAAAATTCGTCCTCCATTTTTTTTTTCCCTCTCCAAAATTTAGGAGAAATTTGTCATGCCTTTAATTTGTCTCTCCTTAACATGAAAAATAATGGAACCAAACAAGTCTTTTTTTCATATATATATATATATATATATATATAAGTTTTCTATTTTTAATTATCAGAAAATTGAAAATTAGTTCAAAAAATTACAGTGGGCCTAAAGGGCCACCTAATTCACCTAAATATGATGCCGGCCTTGACAGGATTTTTAAAAGAAGACGGAATGAAGACGAGCAATATTGGTCATTTTGAAAGTGTATGTATTACTACCATTAACAAACAGAATCTGAATTTTTAGAAATTCTATGATACTAGCTTTCATTCCTTTGGCCCGGGGCTTGACCGAATTGGTAAGGTCACGACCTGGACTGCCTTAGGTCTCAGGTTCGAACCCGTCCATTATCATTATAATTCTCGACTGAAATTGTTGCTGAGGTGAGGGACCGTCGACAGCATCTCCAGTTTGTAGCCTTGGATGGGTCCGAAGGGGCCCTGTCCAAGTGAGTTCCGATCCCAATCAAAAAAAAAAAAAAAAAAAACTTTCATTCCTTTGATCATTTATTAGATTTTTTATTGTCTCACCATCACATTTTATGGCTAGGAGATCTGAGGGTACAATACCCCCATTGTCTATGGTTCGAAGTCTATGGTTCGAAGCAGCGGACCTGGACTTTTCTAAATAGATCAGGGCCCAGCCCAAAGGCCTATCTGCAAAATGAAAATAATGATGCTCTGTTCATAGGCAGTGAATAGCCCTAGTGATCAACCCGGGCTTGGCAAATAGGCAGCCCCAAACTTTGAGTCCATATGAATATTATAGGCAATGATTATTAATTTCCAACTGTGAATAGTAATAAAATCAAACATGCGAGGCAACAAAATGATGCAGTCTTATTGCCCTTTGCCTGGTTACATAAAAAATGAAACAAATGCATTAACACCTTTGTTTCAACGAAGTGTCCTATGGTTTATGTTATTGAATTATGAAATTAGGAATAATAATTCTATTTTCTTTAAAATGGAATACATTTGTTGAAAAACAAAATGGAATATCACTCCGAAGTCTCAAGTTAATATTATATATACATAACTATATATCATAATCAAGGGAAATCATAAAATATTAAAAAATGTGAATTTTCATAGTTCTCTTCCATACCATCTAAAGTCTGACAGTAATAAATTACATTTTGGGAGCAACTTCACTAGAGATTCATGGATATTTAGAGGTTTTAAAAGAATAGTCCAAAAACTATTATATCAATATTTACGAACTTATAATGAGAACCCGTGTGTGTGTGTGTATATATATATATATAATATTTCACATCCTACAAACAATTTTGGAGAAGCAATTTTATAAGTACCATAACCCATAACAGAGATTCTCACCAAAACAAACCCACACACAATTTGGACAGCTAGATTTCTTCATCACTACTTGTTTCATCATCATCACCACTACCTGTTTCTTCATCATCATCATCATCCACAGCTAGTCCCTGAATTAAAAAGAAGTGGACGGGTGAAATGAAAAGAATTACCTAAGTCATTGCTTGTAGTAATTCCAAGACAAAAGTTCATAAAAATAGTAATTAAGATGGTTAAAAGCTACCATGCAGGAAAAAGCATTTGTATACAAACTCTTATTAAAAATTCACGACATTCAGTAGTTACCTTTCCTTTCCGAATGTACTGCTGCACATAGCTATTAAGGTCACTCACATGGCGTAACAACCCACCATCTCCTGTTACTTTTATATCCAGCGTGCTTATGATGGGAATTTAAAAGCATTATTTGCGCGACAAAAACTTGTGAGGTGCGGTAGATATAAGAACTCCAGAGACTCTAACTGAGAGAAAACGATTTCCCCCTTGGCATCCTCTTCTCCTTGTCCTTCACTTCCAACTATTTCTTCCATCACGCTACATTTTTGAATCACTAGTACTCTTAGTTGTGTGAGAAGACTTGCCATTGAGAGCGAGAGTAAGTATCTAAGGCTGTAGCAAGCTTGAACTGTTAAATATGTTAGGTTGTGAAAGACCAAAAGTCCCTGTGGTTCCATTATCCAAATATTCACCAATTTAGGTAAACAAATCAATGTCAACTTTTTTATTTGGGAAGACACTATTGACTTTCTTTGAATGGCATCAAGTTCTTCAAGCTTGAAGACAACTTCTAATGAAAAACAATATTCCACTTTGAGTTCTTCAACAACCTCAAACCACTGTAGCAGGGTACGAGCATTTACTAAATTGTAGTAGTTTTTCACCTCTAGGAATCTTACTTTGCTAAAGGACCCAGATGGGAGTTGTGCATGCAGAACACCTTCTAACATGCTCCCATCATTGAGTACTAATTTCTTTATGATAGGAAATTCAACCTGCAAAAATCAAACATTATGTCGAGCATGTGTATTCCGCTAAAAAAAACAAAGCAAACCGAGCAATACTGACTACCCCTTTGTTAAGCACCTTCTAATTTTCTGTTCTAATTCTGTTTCATGTTCTACAGATAAATAAATTTCTTCCCAAATTATATATATATAAGTGCATATTAGGTTGTTTTCCCTCACAACTAGTGGCATTCATTTGAGGCTCTGGTTTTGATTTGGACCTTGCTAAATGGATGGATGTAAATTGACATGCAAATTTTCAATAACACCAGAGAAAATTGGAACAATGGTTTTTTCATTACAGTAATGGGAATCAACAGACATTACCTTCTTGTTCCGGAATGGTTGTAAAGGGGCATCGGCTGTCTTTAACTCCACAGTGTTGAGGTATTGACAAGGAAACATCGTTAATATGGGACAACCTCTTATTTCCATTGTCAGTGAGGATGGCATTCAGAAATCTTCTTGTAAAAGCTCGTCAGGCATGGTAGGTCTTCAAAGACCACTTTCTTTAATTGAGGGAACAAAACTGTTCCTTCTGCCCCCTTTGACCCTTCAACTTTAAATACCTCTTGCAGGGGCTCACATTGTAGCACTTCGACTTCTTTTAGGTTCAATTCTGTTGAAGCAACATTTAATAGCTTGCGACACTTTTTCAGTTCTAACTTTCTCAGTTTGGAAACAGAGTAGGTTGAAATTGTGATGTGCCATATCTCTTCCAAGTTGTCTAATTTCTTCATAAACAATTCCTCCAGCAGGAAATTTAACCTGCAAAATATCAGTTTGCAGGTGATAATACCAATAACTCAACTAGTATATCTTAGTCATTAGGAGGAACAAAAAGGAGGGAAAGAGGGCATAGCTTCCCTTTAAAATAATGCAACCAGCAAAATTAATGGTTTAAGTTTTCTTCCAATAATTACTTGGTATCTATTGATTTCATATATGAGCTTCACAATTAATGCTTGTAATCTTTCATTTTAGTTCTTATTTTATTTAGATAATCATGTATAAGCAGATTAAATAAATCAACAAACAGATTAAAACACAATCACATGATATATTCATAGTGGTTCACACATGGTGTTATTTTCTGTTGCTTAATGTATGGTTTTCTTTTGAATTATAATACTTGGAAGAGATTAGGAGAATACTCCTGGAATCCATATTTACTAATTTATAACCAAATCATCAAATAATTAAGATAGTCCAATAGATAAGTGAATATAGTAGTATTTTGTTCCGCCTGACGATTTGTCACTTTGTCTTCGTTGATGCAAGTCTCAGCACTTGAACCGGTAGTATTGACAAAGATTTATTCAATTTTTAGTTTGAAGTTGATTATAATTTCAAACTAAAAAAGAGACCAGACCACCAAAAAAATGAAATTATGCATCAGGGCATATTTTAATTTGAAGTTGATTATAATTATACTGATCTTTTTTGATATTTTTAAATGTAATCATTCACACATACTCAGTTTAAAAAATTTACAATGACGGGCGCGTAAAATATCTTGCTGAAAATTGATGGTTAAGTTATATTTGTTAAATTTTAATATTTTTTTCCTTTGTAAATATTTTAAGACAATCAAATATAAAAGTTAAAAAAAAAAATATTTTACACCCAAACAAATGGAGCCTAAATGTAAATTAATTTTAAAAATGCTTCTTGGGCCAACCATTCCAACCAAAATAATGGGATGGCATTCAAGTGGGACCATTGAGCCAACCATTTCTGTCGGAATGGTGGGCTTGTAAAGCACAATTAGCCATTCAATTAATAATTGCAATTAAATATAGAAATTTGAATAAGAGTTGTGATATGGAGATGTACTTTTAAAGCCCAATTAGAGATGGGGTTTGGGCTCATTTGGCTTTCAGAGTTTGAAGTTCAAATCTTTATTGTTTGAATAAAGATAAGTAGAAAAGTGTAAAACTTTTGCTAATAAATGCATGTTAAGAAGGTCCAAATAGATGTAAAATCAAATACAAAGATTAAAAAAAATATAGAAGACCAAAGGACCAAATGGCCTAGCGGTATCATCCCTTTCTCTCCAAAGAGGAGGTTTAATATATATAAACACCCATTTGCATGAAAGTTTGAAACATAGCAGCAAAATTTTTTTTTCTGTTTTTTGGTTATGAGAAAATATACAAGGGTGGGAGGCAAGGGGAGGCTGGCGGGGGAAATGGCCCCCCCTAATTTTTTGGAATTTTTTTTTTTAGTATAGGTAAAAATAAAATAATATAGCATATGTAGTATAAAATCTATACTTGCCCCCCTAAGAAAAAAAAATTTCTTTCTTTAATTAGCATTTAACAAAAAATAATTTATATATAATCTAAAAGAAAGTGACTTAATTGAGGACTATAAAACCCCGATAAAAATTTAATGTGCCTATCTTAAAATTTTAACTCAAACATCATACTTTCCATAATGTGACTATTTTGAAATCCTTTTAACTCAAACATGATTCTTTTCATAACCTTATTATTCTAAAATTCCATCTCATACATTATTCGTTCCATAACTTTTTTTTTTCTTTTTATTTATTTTTATTGGAATGCTTTTATAAAAATTCTATAACAAATTAATTTTTACAAAATCTAGAACAAAAATTTCATTTGAAGTTTTGAATATCAACAAAAATCGATTTAAGAATCTAAATTCTTTTTTTTTTTTTTAAATTATTATTATTTTTTTCTTTTCGGTAAATAAAGAGAGTTATTTAATTGATTTTTTTTTTTTTTTTATAATTTTGGCATAAATCTTATTTGTGTTTGTTCCGAAAGTTTGATAAAAAATTTATTTAAATATCTAGTTTTTTTTTTTAAAAAGTTTAGATAGATATATTTTTGTATGAATATAATAAATAGTAAAATATTTTTGCCTACGTAATATATATATATATATATATATATTTCAAAAGTTCTAACTAAGTAATGTTGTTTATAATTTTGGCCCCCAATCTCAATATCCTGGCTCCGCCCCTGAAAATATACAATGTGCTCGGCTCACAAGGCAATCATGACCATCCATGTTCGGGTTCACAAGGCAATCATGACCATCCATGTCCGAGTGTGCTGTACATGCGCACGCGCTTGTACAACCCAAACGATAGTGATGTGCTCAGATAACCTCTTGTTTATTAGTTTTTGTAACTTACCCTATTTGACTAACGGTGAATTAACCCATTGAAGAATCAAATAAAATTACATAAATATCCATAATAAGGAAATTGAATTAAAAAATAGAAAAATAAATATTTTAGAAACAAAAAAAATCACCTATAAACCAACGCCTTTCACCAGTTGCAAAATCATGAATTTTGTTGTTTGAAAAAAAATAAATAAAAGGTTCTACCTTAGGGTTCACACATGGTGTTATTTTTTCTCCCCTCTCCTTTTTCGGTTGCTTAATGTATGGTTTTCTTTTGAATTATAATACTTGGATGAGATTAGGATAATACTGTTGGAATTTTTATATATATATATATATTTAAATAATAAAAAATTATTTTATGGTCCTATGCACTACGTTTTCTAAAGTAGGATTGCAATTTGGTGGTCTAATTGGGAGTATGGTTTTATACCGTTGGATTGTGATTTTCCAACTTATTTGGTGTGATTTATTTATAACCATTAATATCTAAGTTTCCATGATAGGAAGGGAGACTTAGATATGCTTTCTTGTAGAGAAGCCATCCTTCCCTATTGTTGTTATATATAAGGGTTTTAAAACCCTTATTCAGACATATCGTATCGACAACTCTTAGAAGGGGTAAAGCACTCTACTATTTTGCAGGAACTCACAGAGGATTGCATGAATATTCTAAAAGTATATGCGCGTTAATCATCAATCAGGTATGAGTCTAAATTACTCTGTAATTAATTAAAGTATTCTTGATTTCTACATGGATTAATGTGATTAAAACCCAATAATTGGTATCAGTGTCATGGTTATATTAGGGTTTTAATTTTGTAGAAATCAAAATTAAAGTAATTAAATATATCATTTAAATTTATATGTATGTAATTTATATTGTCCGATTATTATTTTCGGTTCAGTATTCTTTCTCGTCATGGATATATTGCATATGGGTTTGTTCCTTAAACATGCTGATCAATCCGGATTTTGTTACATGTTGATGTAGTATATAAATATAATGAATATATTGCATATATAAAGTTAAAGCTTATACATACAAGCCATGCACGGATCACGAAGCTAATGGATTGCTTTATAATCAATCACGTTCATGCAATATAACTGAAATAAGCATAAACTGAAATAATACAATTGATTTATGCAATATAGAATTGATTTATATTTATACTTATCAGTACACGACAATTGAATGACACAATTGGAAACTTTTATTATTTTATTATATTTAGGTTATTCATTGATAGAAAGGAATGAATTGTTTATTAGAATATGAATTTATTCATTGATTCCTTTTTTGAATTATTTATAGGAATAAGTGTTGGATGATATCAATTTTTTTTTTTAAGATGAAAAGAAAAAAAAAGTTTCACTGATTAATGAATCACTGTTGATTGCATGTAGTATATAGATAAACTATTTGATAAGATGTCAAATTTGAAGTTTGATTGAATATTTGAATAATATATAATTTATATAATATTCAATCTATATGTTGGAGCATTGATACTGCTTAACTCTGATTCAGTTGACACGAGCATACAAGAATGCGTATTACCGTATTATACTTTGTTCTATATATATATATATATATATATATATATATATATGATGTAGAAAAGTGTATACGGGGGTAAATGGTTTGGTTATTTAAATGTGCAGACTTTATATATATATAACACAGATTTTTGGTACATGACTCCATTAAGGGAATTAAAGGTTTATCTTTTATTATATTAATTCATTTAGTGATTCAAATGAATTTCTTTTGAATTATATATTATGTATGGATAAATTATTTCATATAATATATACATATACAAGACCGTGAAGCTGCGTGCCAGTCTAGTCACGCTTTATGTCCAATACTTTTATTAAGTAATTTATAATACTTGTTTAATTTTAGGTTGAAAACCTATAAGGCTTACGTGTCATAAGCAATCAGTATTAACTTGATTGATTTAAAGATTCTAATACTTTAAATTGTTTATTAGATATATAATATACATGCGTCAAGTTTTGTTAATTTATTTTAATTAAAGTATATAAAGAATTGAGATTTTAAATCTTGATTGATGTGCATGTTATTATTATATTGTTCACTATAATTTTTAAGATATATGAAGAAACTTTATTTTATTTATATTAAAGTCATTTATATTACAGTGAAATCAAGTGTTCTATAATATTTGGGTTTAATTTATGTACATTATAAATAAATTGTTGAACTTAAATAAATGGAACTTTTACAGTTTAAATAGAACTTTTATAGTTTAGGTTCTTTTTTGGGGTTTAGGAAGAACGGTAAAGTGACCATTTCAAATGTGGTAGCCAAAGTGGGTGATGTCTGCCAAAAGGTGACACGCTTACAAAGGTTATTATTTTTTAAAATTTTAAGACATTGGTCTTATTAAGGTCTCACAGTACACTTACCTACATGA